CACCAACGCCGTGATATTTAGTGACTCCAAGAGTGCACTGTCCAAAATATCACGCCAAGACATTTCGGCCAAGATGGACCTGTTATCACTCCAGACTAAACGCCTTATGCTTTGAGCCCATGATCAAGATTTTAATATTGCTTTAGTGTGGATACCTAGCCATTGTTGCATATCAGGCAATGTTGCATGTTCTCGAAATATCATCACTACTATCACAAGAATGCGGAGCAAACATTGCCTATCCATGGCACATTTACATAAAATTCGGGTGAAACCTCATGACAGATGCGAGTGCGGGGAACGACAGGACCTGTGGCATATCTTCTTTGCACCTTATATGTTTAGGAGTTGTCAAAAAAATTTTAGTTTCATTTTGGATATGTGGAAAACCGCCTCATAAACTGCCTGCTCATCAGATTAGCGAGATATCAGAATCATTGAAATCACAGGCAGTTAATATACCAGGAGAGTTTTCTAGAAAACCTCGTTCACTAAACGAAGCAAAAAGGTGGAAAGCAACTGAATTTCGTCAGTTCCTTTTATACACAGGTCCAGTTGTTCTGAAGAACGTTCTTGGCAAATCAAAATATTTACATTTTATGTGTTTGCATGTAGCAGTCAGAATTTTATGTTCCAAAAGATTGACACAGGATGGTATTGAATATGCAAATTCATTAATGATATTTTTTGTAGAGACATTCACAAAACTTTATGGCCAAGAATTCATTTCACATAACATTCACAACTTACTTCATATTTCACAAGATGTTAGTAAATTTAATGGAGCTCTAGATGCTTTTAGTGCATTCCCTTTTGAAAATTTCATGCAGTGTATCAAGAAATTGATTAGGAAATCTGAGAAACCATTACCACAAGTTGTAAGACGTATTGCAGAATCTGAAAAAGTGATGTTGAGACAGGCTGGACCGAAGCTCAAAAATCAACCTTTTAAAGAACATCAAAATGGTCCTATTTTACAAAATTCTCAAGATCCACAATATGAACAGTATCATTTTGAAAAATTTAAACTGAAATCAAAACATCCTGATAATTGTTGCAAATTGAAAGATGGCAGCATAGTAGTTGTAGAAAATTTTGCTTCCATGAATGGGAATGTAGTAATAATTGGTAGAAAATTTGAACATGTTGTAGATTATTTCAGTAAGCCTTGTAATTCTTCTGATATTCTTGTGTTTGAAGTGAGAAATTTGAGTGGGTTAATGTTTTGGCAAATTGATGAAATAGATTTCAAATATGTTAAGTTAAAAGCAGCAGATAGTTATGTGGTTTTTCCACTTCTACATTTGGAATAGTCATTTAGTAGGAAATACTCTCAATAATGGCCTGGTATATATAAAAGAGTTCTTATAAATACTTCTAAAGCTGATATCTCTGAAATTTTATAAATCACTGAAAATGAAAACTTTCTGATTGAATGTTAATATATAGTTTCCACTTATTNTCAGTCAAGGAAGATCAAGTTTTCCAAACCGTGATTAAGATTATAAATATGATTAGAGGTGGAAATCGATCTCTTTTACACAGGCAACTTAAGCAGTTTTTAGTGGAAACAGAGGCTGAGTATGGAGACTTGCTAATGTACAACCATGTAAGGTGGCTGAGTGCAGGAAAGTGCATGGAACGATTTTTTGCCATAAGAAAGGAAATCCCTGCATTCCTCAACAAATACGTTTCATCTGACACAACTGAACTGGAAGAGAAGTTTAAGGATCCAGAATTCTTAAGACAGTTAGCATTTATAACAGATCTGACTAATCATCTTAACAAGTTAAACTTGAGTCTCCAAGGAAGAAACCAGACGGTTTCAGATTTGATCGGAATGATAAACGGATTCCGGAATAAGCTGAACGTGTTTAAACGTGCTTTGGAAAAGAACAACCTGACACACTTCCCTAGCTGTCTGCAAATAGCAGAAGAATTCAACGGTGAGGAAAATATTGAGTTTTCATCCTGCATTTCACAAATTGAACAAGTTATTGATGAATTCAATACAAGATTTGAAGAAATTGAAAGTCTTAAAAGCAGTGTACTACTTTATAATAACCCTCTTGGAGCAACCATTGATGATCAACCACCCAACTTACAGCTTGAGTTATGTGATCTTCAAGCAGACATGTACCTAATCACCAAACAAGAAAAGGGACCTGAATTTTTCAAATTACTGCCAAAGGAGAAATTCCCAAACCTGCGAGATTTTGGACTGAAAATGACGTCAATGTTCGGAAGCACATATACATGTGAAAGTGCCTTTTCCTCCATGAAATACATTAAAAACAAAAACAGAAGCAACCTAACCGATTTTTCCTTACTTCATCTTATGAGACTGTCTACAACTGAACTGGAGGTGGACATTTCCTCATTGGTGGATGAAGCCGATCGACCACAGTCCTCACACTAATTGATACATCTTTTTCGTTGCTTTTGCAATGTTTGTCTTCATTATTAAAAAGTGTTATCAATAAATTTTCCGTTTATCAAAAAATGTATTTGTTGAGCAATAAAAGAAATAATACTCTTTTTTGTTTTAATTATTTTTATACCTCACTTTATTTTGTTATTACTTGTTACAAAATTATTATATGGCCCGCGACAACATCAAAGGTTTTAGTTTTGGCCCTTGAGGCATTGCAAGTTGGACACCCCTGATGTGGATCATCGTAACTTTCACACAAGAAAATTCTGTGGAAGTCGTTCCAGAAAAATGGGTGATTTTTGATGATCGCAAATGTTTCTGGCCTCCTTATAGAGGATTAAAGCTGAAATGTGCCATTGCTGAGAAATGTGTTGTTGGGGATGATTGGGTCACACACCAAATAAGAGTTATGAACAAAAACAAACGTTATGGTAAGTACACAAAAAAATGTATGTGTGTTGATACATTTTGCATTGGTTGCATGATGTTTCTTTTTTCTTTTCAGATGATCTTATTTCAGATTATTCTGAAAATGAAGAAGTACAGAAAAGAATAATTACTAGAAAAGTTCTTACTAGTTCTTCAGAGGAAGAAACCTCTGAATCAATGGTGCTACCAAGGGTACCAGAAGGTTGGGGGATATATTATTGAGTGAAGTAAATACTTATTATTAACATTTTTCAAATTACAGGATTCACTTATAAAGGAAAAGCCAACAAAAACAAAGAGATAACTAAGGGATCTTCTCAGGGTAAGATATTATTCAAATTTTATGTGTACACTCATGGATTAGGTATTACTTTTGTAAAATTCACCAGTATGCTCTTTTCTTTCACAGTTTATGTTTCACGAGAAAAAGGTCCCACTCTTAGACCAAGTAATAGCGAAGCTGAGTGTGAAAGTAAGTACTGTGAACATTGCGTACTGAAAAAATAAGGAGAATAAGCTTCTATAGGAATGCACCAAAAGGCGAAAAAAATTTTTTAGACGTGTGACGTGAAGTATTCTGTGAGTAACACATTCAAAAGCTTGTCGCTTTGGTATTCAAACCTACGTCACAACCTACTTTTTTTTACATTTTAGTGCATTCGAATAAATTTTATTATTGATTTCATTCATAATTATAACATAATTTGAGCGAACTGTGTAAATAGGTACATCACTTATGTGAATTAACAATTGAGTTCAAATACGTCAAACAATGATCTGTTTTCATTAGTTGAGATGGAAGTGGTGCTCATAATTAATTTTTCTAAGGTATTTTTTTTTCGTTTTGAGTTTCAAGTATGATTTTCTAATTTTCTGACAATGAATCTTAGTCTTTTCATTTCGTTTTACGCCTTTCTATTACATAGCTTCTTGTCCGTTTACTTTGCATAGTCTTATTCTTCAGTTAGTACTCCATCTAGAAATCTCACTCGACTAAGGGCCACATGATACCTTAATATCTATTTTGTTAATTTTGACAAAAAATTATAATCTCCGATTTCGAAAAACCCTACATACCAAGTTTCAATCGAATCGGACCATATACACGAAATCTATTCGCCATTTTGGAGCAGCCATTTTGTTTTGTTTTTCTAAAAAAAACTCCTAATGAATTATGAACACCTGCCAAGTTTAAGCTTGATTGGATTAGTAGGAGTGGTCAAAAAATTTGACGCGGACAAACAAATATCTTGCAGTGTGAGTTAAATAAAAGCGTGTAAAAGGTCCGCTTGAATGTTAATTATTTGCAGAACTCAATGAAAAAAGTAACTTTGAACCATCAGAAGAATCTGATTCATATGATACATTGGACCCAAAAGACCCAGTAGATGTTGAGGAATATATAGAGAAAAAGACAAGTAAGTTGATGTTATAGTATATTTACCAAACAAAACTAACTAGTTGGTGCCTTTTCCACAAAGAACACTAAATTGTTGATTGATTTCAGATTTGAGCGGGGAAGGTTACATCGAATCCTCCGAAGATTCTGGCTCTGAATATGTACCATTAGAATCGGAAAGCACTGTAACCCGTAATTTGGAGGAAACAAATATGGAAATAAGTGCGGGTAAGACGATTGTAATATTGAATAGGGTGCATGAAGTGTGGATCTTCTTGACGATACATGTGTGAAAATCTCGAAAGCTAAAAAACCTTTGGTTCTACAACCCACACTGAATATGAATTATTTTTAGGTATAAATAACGAAGAAACTATGAACTCCGGCAAGAATGACTCTCTTGTAACGCGAACATCCCTAGAGTTGGAAGATATGACTGTCAGCCCTTCGACCAAAAAAAACAAAAAAGCTCTATTGCATGTACTGCGGAAAATTCCAGTCAAAGTTCGCCAGACACTTAGAAACTGTGCACAAGAATGAGGAAAGCGTTAAGCAGTTTCTTCACTTGAAACCTGGTTGCCCAAACAGGAAAAAAATAATTGATACCATTAAAAAACAATCTCAATTTCAATATAATACGAGATCTAGTATTAATAGAGGAAATCTCGTAGTGAGTAGACGTCCACAAGAAAAACTAAAGAGAAGTGGAAAAGATTACTAGATTTGTTGTAATTGTAAAGGTTTTTTTTCAAAATACAACTTGCGACATCATGCCAAGAAATGTTTTGATTTTTATGGAAACATAATGGGTCGGAAAATTCTATGACATTACATCCAGAAGCAACTGACAAACTTCGCAATGACGTATTTCCGGTATTAAAAGAGGATAACATAGTGAGAAATATAAGGCAGGATAGGTTAGTAATATTATATGGAAATAAAATGTGCCTCAAATATCGTTTACAACATCAAAATGAGTAAATTAGATCCCACCTGCGTATGATAGGGACATAAAAGATATGGCCTCTTTATATGATCCAAAATATTATGATGATAGTGTTGCAGCTATTAATGAAATAGCTGGCTTTGATAGCGAAACCAACCAGTTCAAAGCGCCCTCAACGGCGTACAATACTTTTTGTGATTAATGTTCCCATTCTTTTCAAAAGTGTTTTTAGGAGTTTCTGGGAGTCGAAGATCATACCTAATGTTTATATCAAAATAAAACAATTCGAAATTGTGGAAAAATTGTGATTGTGAATAGGTATCTTCAAAACAAATTGTATAGAGTGTGAGATTATTCTAATTTTTTTTCTCAAAATTGGGAAATGGTGTACTATGATTGTGATTCAGTTCTATTTACTATTTATCAAGAATATTTTGGTATAGAATATGGTCGACATTTAGGAACTTATTATGGTGAACGAGCTTTGTGATTTATCTCCGAATATATTATAAATTGGTGGCGTATTATGAAGTTCTGATGAATGACCATATCTAATTTTTTTACACCTAAATTGTCTTCCTTTTTTGCTGGGGAAGCCAACAAAGAGAAGCCTTCAACAAAGCGGTCAAGTATATTATGTCGAATAGATGTACGCATGGTAACTCATTTTTGTTATTCCACAGCTTCACCATACGGTAAAGTCAAAAACAAGAAGCGATGGACTAACGTGGAGAGAGAAACTGCCCTGCGTGTATTCAAAGAGAATATTCTGAACCACAATCATCCCTCCCTGAAACAAATCCAAATTATACAGAAAGAGCATCCTGCATTAAAGGACCGAAGCGCGATTGTAATCAAAACATGGATTTCGAATCAAATGAAAAAAACGAGACAGTTGTGCATGTAATATTTCTCTCTGATACATGTATTTTCTCCCTTTCATTTTCGAATATTAAGACTTAGAATGTTTATATCTTTTTTTTTGAAAAGTTGTCTACAATAACTTTTTTAAAATTATATCCTTTACTTTTCCCCTGTGTTTGGATTAACAAATTCAAATAAAAACATTATAGGACAATAACATCCTTTATACGAGAACAGTGTGTTCAATGAAAGTGAAAAATGAATTTGTTATTTCACACTGTAAAGCACTTTGATCGGTTGGTAGTAGTCACGTGGTTACAACGGATCCGTGATCACGTACTCATGTCGATGCAGGCTCAAGGCTCAGGCTTTCGTGCTGCCAGTGAAGAAAGGACAGACTTTTCCTAACAGCTATGTTCTTATTTTGCACTGTCTGCAATAAAATTTGACCCCTTTGCTGTTCTCCGTGCTCATTCTAGTCGTAAAATATATTAATTATGAGTTATGTGATTCCAATAGCAAATTTATTGAAATCATAGATTTATAAAATGTAGATGAGTCAACAACCACAATAATGGACACGTTATGATTGCGTGATGCGCGTTCGTTTGTGATTGGGGATTGGGGGGAATCGGGCCTCTATTGTCAGGCGGGTTAGATCAGGGAGCCACGCGTACAGTTGAAACAGGTACGGACTTGACATTGTGATAATGGATAGGCCGATGTATATTTTGAAAGTTGAATGAATGGATTTTTCCTATAGATTTCTTTCCATTTATCAATCGTTTACTCGAGTGTTATGACTTGTTGAAGTTACAAAAACTGTTGTCAATATACATTTTTCATCTTTTGACTGACTCTATCGAGTCCAATCCAAGTTTGTTGTTTATGAGTTAATGTGGTGTAAGTTTTATCAGTGATAGGCAGTGATAGGCTGCTTCACATAAAAGTTACAAGAAAAGTAAAAATAAATGGGCATTTGAAACGGAGAAAAAGTTGGACCTATACTAGAGAAAATTCCGTAATTCTTTTAGACAATGGTTACACCACTCACGAAAATTAGGAAAACTTTCTACCACCGCTACTAGAAAGTCCGATCTTCATTATTACATGCAAAGAAGAATATCAATTTTGATGTTCGACAACATAAAGACAAATACAATAAGTACATACCTAGTCAACGACATGACTGGAAGTAAAAAAAAGGGTTTTGAGAATGCTTCCATACTATTGCGAATTTATAACCCTATAAAACTTTTATGGGCCGCAAAAACGACCAAATTTTTTATATGAAAAATCTGTTTGGAAAAGTCTAAGTTACGGTTACTTTAGAATTGTGAAATAATTTTTTATCATTCACCAACAAAGTAGAAAAAATGAAAGTTGGATCACATTATGGAAGCACAGGCTAGAATTGAACATATAATAATCAATTTTCGTGAAAGCAGTTTATCCACTTCGTCAGAATGAACATCAGATTGAATAGAATATTGTAGGATTCGACGTTTTATTTTTCCCCCAATTTCAATACACCAAAACACACAGATGGGAGTAATTTGCGAAAAATTGTATCCGAATTATACATGCACGGTTCTCAATAAGGCACTGCTTATCAGCTCTCTGATCTCGATCAGGCACTAATGGCGTGCATATGTTCTGACCTGACGCGACTTGTGTGAAATATAATTTACTTTTTATATACATAACTGATCAGGAATGTTTATTGAGAATTTAACAAGTTTTTGGTGAAAACATCTTCTCAGTTGGATGAATGATGAGTGACTTCTAGCGCGTGAATAATTATAATTTTAATGAAAATTTAGTATCACAAAAATAATGTTCATTTTCGGAAATCGCAAACAACTTTTTGGAATTTCTTCAAACCGTAGATAACTATATTTGAACAAGTCTCTAGAAGGCATTGAGGAAATAATCTGACATTTTCTGTGTATACCTTCAGTACACCACAAATATTAAAAAAATCATGAAGTTGTTAGCCTTAGGTAAAATATATATATTGTCGCGAAATATTTCGAATTTATATTCTACACATTTAGTTACAAACTGTACAATTTATATCTACTACACCAAGTTCAGACTAGCTCACTGTCCCTGGTCGAATACTATATATACACGCCGCCGCTGGTGCTAGAACGCATCGAACAAAAAATAAAACAAAGTCGAATTTCTTGGAATATAGTGGAAAGACGGCGGATGGAATCTTTTGGAAGGTGGCCGTAATTCGCGACGCCAAATAGCGTTTT